AACCAGGGGGGGGGGGGGTGACGCAACGGGTTAACAAGGAGGAAGACTTTCTCTCTGCCTTTGACATTACAATACCGTTGCAAACACGTACCGTGGATGACACAAGGTTCCACACCACCTGGACCGATTTTCGAAGCTCGAAGGCTCCACGGCGAAAAGGATGCCAAAATCAAATGGCACGTTTTCGGAAAGCTCTGGACGAGACTTTTCCATCGCCTCCATCGCTGTTTTCGCTGCAGGGTAAAAGCAAATGTACCCCAAAAATATCCATCCATCTTTGAAATTCGGGTGTGGTACAACTTATGCAACCTACCGTAACTTCGCTTTGCAAATGCGCGGCGGGGCTGGGAAGGGCGGGACGGGGCCGGTTGTGAGCAAAGAGCGCGACGCAGAATGCAGCACGGTTGGGGGATCGTCCGGAACAGGTCGCGCTGTTGATGGACTCATCGGCACCTCGTAACACGGTATGAGTGATTACGAGATTATGAGGGGGTATAGGACCAACACGCCTAAATAAGCATGGACGCGCTGTGCTGAACTAAAAATCGATGTTTTGGCACCCCGTTCTCTTGCACACAGCATCTTGGCAGACGGGGCGCACATACCGCGCCCACAAAGACCATTCTTGACAAACAACAACGCCCTTTACAAATAGATAACAACAGCCCAGCAGCAGCAGTAGCAGCAGCAGCAGTGGAATTGTCCCAAACGACAAAGTACGTGGAACACCCGTCGTGCACCGTACTCCTGCCACCACCCGTGCTGGTCTGACGTTGCCAACCCCTTCGGCCTCACCTGACCCTGCTCGAACGTCAGCCTGCCGCGCGCCAACGCTCCGTCCTTGATGCAGAGGTTGGCGCACTTCTGGTACAGCCCGGCCGCCTTCTTGCAAGAGTTCTCCAGCGCTCCTGAGAGACGCACACACGACGACGAGTGCCCAAAAAAAAAACACATCAGCAAGGAGAATTGGGCCGTGCGTGACACCACTCGACACACGACGTGCGTTTCAATGAAACGCTTTTATTACCAAGCTACAGCAGTCGCCTTGAGTAAGACTGAGGACTACCACACATATCGAGGAGGAGAGAGGAAAATCATACCCGACGCTAGGTGCAATTCTCTCCGGTGCCAGCATGACGACGGAGACATCATCAACATCAACATCATCAACAACAACAACAACAACAGCAGCAGCAAGTCGTCGTGTTGCTGTTGCTTCCTCCATCGTCATGCTGGCACCGGATAAACTTGCACCTGGCATTGGGGGTCGGTTGCCTCTCCTCATCATCCTATGCGATCGGGGTGATTTGCCTCTCCTGCTACGCTACATCGTCCTACTCGAATATCGATGTAGGGCCGGAGGAAAATCACACCCAACATCAGTGCAAGTCTCTCCGGTACCAGCACGACGACGGAGAAATCAACAACAGCAGCAACAACAGCAACAACAAAAGCAACAACAGCAAATCGACGACGATGACAACGAGAAAGCCAACCCACAAAAGGCCAAAAAATCGCAGACACCGTGAGCGCGCACAACGACGAGGAAGGAGACGATAACGCCACGGGACACGAGAACTGAATTAAATTGGACAGCGCGACAAAAGCAACAGCTTGGACGGTGCTATCTTGGCATAACCCTTTCCGACAGAAGTAGTCGGGAAGAGCAATGCGCGTCAGGAGCAGGCTTGAGACCACGCGGAAGTGATTATTTTTTGGAGACATTCAAGTTCAAAGAGGATTTAAACAACTGGTAACTATCTGTTCACATTTCACGATGCAACGGCATCGGCATTGTTGTAGCATACTGCAACTGTTCATGTCTCACGATGATGCACACAAAATGGCAACCCATTAGACTAATCACACTCATGATGTACCGACATCATCCTATGTTCTGCTGTACAAACATGGGGAAAGAGGGAGATCTTGTCGCGCCATCCAGCGTGGTCAAGGCGTAAGCGAATCATGCTCGGTGCGCTACGATGTACTCGGCAATCCTACAGCCGCTCTTCCGCCAACGAACGGTTGGGATACCACGTCCACGGCACGCGCGCAGTTACGTCTAACAACTGTGTGCCTCACAAGGCGTCAGCGAGATATGCTCGGCGCGCTACGATGTACTCGGCGAACCCACAGCGGCTTTTCCGCCAACGAACGGTTGGGATACCACGTCCAACGACATTTGTCTGCCTCACCTTTAAATCCAGCCAGGTGTAGCTCTGCGAGGACCAGGATGGCATCAATTCCCCCGGTGTCCGCAGACTGCGATGATCCCCCAAGGAGGAACAAAAACGTGGGGGGCACGAACAAAAACAAAACAAAACAATACGTGTGTCAAAACTAAAAAATGAAGGCCACCAAGGGGTTTCGTGCCGTGTGCAAGGCACATCGCGAGGGGGAAGCAAGGGGACCGACCCCGCATGTCGCTTCTTGTGCTTCCTGTGCTTCTTGTGTCTGGCTCTTCTTAGCACAAGCCGGCCGGCCAGAAACAGCTCCCGCGGAACACGCAACAAAGCACTCACAAGGACCTCTGTCGTCCAACTCGTGCGCCCCCCTCGCCGTCGGCAGAACCCTTATCCTCTTGACTAGAACGTGTTGGCGTTCCTAATCCCGCTGGGCATACAAGACACAGGCGTCTATTCATTGGGCGTCACCCGGTTTCAAACGCGTTCGATGTTAAAGAAAACACACACACAAGCACGATGGAGGGATATGCACCCATAGCATCCCGTCCCTGGAATTGGAGGGGAACGACACCGGAAGGAAGAGCGAGTGTAACCTGCCCGTCAACTCCCCGTCACAAACACTACAGTACCTCGCCAGCTCTTGTTCGATCGACCTCTGTCAACATGCCTACAAAGGAGAGACGGCCAAAACTCCCGCGGGCAATTGTTTTCCCTCCTCCAGATTGTGCCGCACACCCGCCTTTCTCGCCCTCGCCAAGAGCCAGCTCAACCCATAGAGCCCGACACTCACACCCACCACCCCTGCTTGCACAACCTCCCACTCTTCACCAGAGCCGTCACATCAGCCCCCCTCCGCTTTCGCAACCTCCCGCCTCCTCAGCTTTCCTGCTCCATCCGTGGCGTTCTTCCACCGCAGCCCCAGCACCGTGCGGGCCCACGTACCAATCGGCGAACCAAAAACGCCCGTGACGCCACCAACACCAACCCCTCCCCCCCCGTGCGCACGCCCCCTTGAGTCCCGGCGGCATATTTACCACCCCGACCCATGTGCAGTACACCGACAAACAAACGGGGTAGGGAAAGAGCAGCAATAGCGAACCCACAACGAAAGCGGGAGAGATCCCACCCTACCCCACCTGCTGGTGGTAGGACAACCCCTCCGTGATGTTATTACCCAGGTTTGGGACCAGGCCGTGCTGAAACATGCTGCCGATCCGAAGGGCCGCGATCGTCTGCGGCTCGCCGAACTTCTTGCCCGTTTCCTGTTTTCGGGTGGGGGGAGGTGAAAGAGAGGGATGGCGAAGCACTACTCAAAAGAGGTGCGCCACAATAAACATATATGCACACGTTTCCCGCTGGCACTGACGTCTGTTCATTGGTCCGCCGGTTGGCGCGACGGTAGCAACCGCATCGGTCGACCGGGCCTGCAAGCTCCGAATACCAAACAGACAGGCGAGCTCCATCCAGACGGACTCGATCCAGCAGACGAGCGCGCGGGTGAACAGGTCTAGGTGCTTGAGATCGCCCGCGTCGTGCTTAGGTAGGGCACTATATCCTACGCTAGAAAGTGGCTACTGTATCAGCGAGGGTATCTTTGAAAGCGGCGGCAAAACAAACACACCACCAGGGACACGGGAGGCAGGCAGGCAGGCAGGCAGGCAGGCAGGCAGTAACACACCAAAAACGGCAGTGATACCTACACGGTCAGTGCCGTCTATTACCAAACACTACAAGAATTCTCATCTTTTCCCCTCTACATGTACGTGAGACGGGCGTGGACGATGTTAGAGCCAAAAAACAAGACAAAAAAAAGTTGACCCAAGAACCAAAATAAATGAAAACAAGACAAGAGCAGCAGCAGCCGAGAAAAAAGGAAAACCCACCAGCGCCTGAGTGAACAAGAGGAACGCCTGAAGCATGGCGTACTTTCCGCCGGCCCCCCTACCGTCCCTTGTGTCCGAGTACTCGCCGTGCAGCCACATGTCCGCGAGGCCAGTGGCGCAGGCCGGGTCTCCCGCCTTCTCTCGTGTAGAAAACCCACGCGGATGATGGGCGAAAAACCAGCAAAGCGCACGCCATAACGCGTACACACGGGTGCGTTCATGCGGAAAAAGCACGTAGAGAAGCCAAGTCGGGACGGAGGGTTAACAATACAGGAGTTTTTTATAGCGCATCCGCGCGCGGACCGGATACGGCAGCAGTAGGACACCTAAACGTTTTCCAATCCGGCCTAATGCGACCGATTTCAGACTTAGTCTTGGCCTTCGGGAGTCCCCCCAGTTCGGAGACACCGGTACACAGAAAGATTGGTTTGTGAGTTTGCCAGACACATAGACGTGTTGAGTGAAGATAGCTGCATACTGAAACCTCACAGATGGATTGGTTTGTGAGTTTGCCAGACGCAGACGCGCTGCGTGGGGATAGCTACATGCATGAGTGATGTTGGATAGTGCCGGACACATAGCACAAGTGATTTGCATTGGAGATTGCCGGACACATTGACGTGTTGAGTGAGGATAGCTGCATACTGAAACCTCACAGATGGATTGGTTTTTGAGTTTGCCAGACACATAGACGTGTTGGGTGAAGATACCTGAATACTGAAACCTCACAGATGGATTGGTTCTTGAGTTTGCCAGACACATTAGACGCGCTGAGTGAGGGTCGCTGCATACTGGAACCTCACAGATGGATTGGTTTTTGAGTTTGCCAGACACATAGACGTGTTGAGTGAAGATAGCTACATACCGAAACCTCGTCTTGAGTGAGGATAGCTACATACTGAAACCTCACAGATGGATTGGTTTTTGAGTTTGCCAGACACATAGACGTGTTGAGTGAAGATAGCTACATACCGAAACCTCGTCTTGAGTGAGGATAGCTACATACTGAAACCTCACAGATGGATTGGTTTTTGAGTTTGCCAGACACATAGACGTGTTGAGTGAAGATAGCTACATACCGAAACCTCGTCTTGAGTGAGGATAGCTACATACTGAAACCTCACAGATGGATTGGTTTTTGAGTTTGCCAGACACATAGACGTGTTGAGTGAAGATAGCTACATACCGAAACCTCGTCTTGAGTGAGGATAGCTACATACTGAAACCTCACAGATGGATTGGTTTTTGAGTTTGCCAGACACATAGACGTGTTGAGTGAAGATAGCTACATACCGAAACCTCGTCTTGAGTGAGGATAGCTACATACTGAAACCTCACAGATGGATTGGTTTTTGAGTTTGCCAGACACATAGACGCGCTGCGTGGTGATAGCTACATACTGAAACCTGACGAGTTGAGTGATGTTGGATAATCCCGGACACATCGATGCGTTGAATGAGGAAAGTCACAATAAAACCTCACAGGTGATTTGTATCGGAGATTGCCAGACACAGAGACGCGCTGCGTGGGCTGCATACTGAAACCTCACAGATGCATTGGTTTGTGAGTTTTCGAGACACATAGAC